CAGCTGCCTGTCTCATCATTTTCACTGTATTTCACAGATTAGTAGATTTGTAATTTCCTCATAAAACGGGTCATAAGAAACTAATAATAATCACTGCTAGTTGTGAACTTGTTAAATGGTGTATTTTGTACGGTTTACAGAATTGAGTGAACAATCTCAGTCAAGGCGAGGCTGTAGCCGCCATTTTAAGTTTTATAAGCAAATTTCTTTTCATGTCTCAACTCATGGGTTGCAGCTGACATTGGCTGCAGTTTTAGGTCGCTTACGTCACTGCCCCACGCCATATGGCTGTCCCAATTCATCAGCGCCTACACATGTGGCCGACAAATGCAGCTGACAAAACCCCGAAAACATTACCTGCATCTGAGTATCCTATGCGGCCAATGGTAAATAAACAAAAAATAAACAAAATAAACAGAAAAACAAAGATGGCGAAGGTTTTCTTTTAATTTTACAGCAGATTATTTTATTTTTTAATGACGGAGTTTGGAAATTTATCATGGACCAAAAAATGTAAGTTTAACAACTTTGCTGAAGAAAATTTTGTTGCAATGAGATGTTAAATAAAATGCAGTACTGATACTGGAGCTAAACCCAAATTATTAATGTTTTTTTAATTTATTTGTGACGTTTTTCTATTAAAACTGAAAATTGTGAAGTTATAAAGAAAAAGCTGACGTGGTGGTAAAAACCAAAATACTACACAGGCAACGCAGGAAGAGCAGGGCTAAACCAAACAATGAGCGGACGAGGAAGTGGTGGTAAAAAAGGTTGAGTGGAAAATAAAAACAGCTGGGTGATTACTCAGTGCAGACAGGTGTGAGAAGAGAGAGATCAGAACCGACTGAGGACAAGATGAGAATGGAAACACAGAACACAAACAGAATCAGTACATCAGAGGCAGTGGGGGTTCAGTGTCTTGCTTAGGGACACTTCGACATGTCAGAATAATGAGGAATCGAACCACCAACTCTCACATTAGAGCAGTGGTGTCCAAAGTTGGTCTTCAAGGGCCGGTGTCCTGCAGGCTTTAGGTGCTGCCCTGGTTCAACACAGCTGAACCTAAGGAGTGCTTAATTAGTAGGCCTCTGCAGACCTTGATGGCAGACTGAGAAGGTAAATCATCTTTTTGAATCAGCTGTGSTGAAGCAGGGCAAAATTTGGAGGAGACCGGCTCTTGAGGACCGGAGTTGGACATGCCTGCATTAGAGGAACAACTGCCCTAACCACTCATACAGCCTCTCCAAATGTCAAGAAAACCCCTCGGGGCTGAAGAGTTTAAAGTCTGGTTCTAATTTTTTTAAATAAACACATAAAATTAAAACTTAAATGTTATAAAATCTTGACATAAATCCTTAAATAAATGAATGAAGACATGCTCAAATGAGTTAATGATGCTAAAACATGTGGGAGTCTGTGCWTTTTTTCCCTTAGCCGTGCCTTTGTATTTGTTTTTTGCTTTGCCGGATRTGGTAGAAAAAATGAGAACTACAACAAATGTATTTTCTCTGGTGGAAACTTCAGTCCTCGCCTTCATGAATAGGAAGACCACATGTGGCTTTAGAGCCACAGAGTACAGCAACTCACACTGAATGGAAACCTGTTAACTAATGCAGCTTCATGAAATGAGTATTATCAAGTTCAACAGGAATGCATTGCTAAAGTTTGGAAAAAAGTTAAGATAATTTTATCCGCATCCAGTAACGTCTTGGGCGCACAGAGAACCCACASAGCCTTCAACTCTCATAAAAAGAATGTTTCAGATATTACTATTTTTACTTTCTACAGCTCACTGTTATAAAGAAATGATCTAATTTTTATCAACCCAACCTGCTTTCTAACCTGTGGGAGAGTTACTACCCCTCCCATA